TAGCATATTAAAAAAACTATCTGGACGAACCTCAAATAATTATTTATTTGTTTGAGGAACTCTCAAAAATTATTGCTATTTCATGTGACATTTATATTAGGAAGTTAATTATTGTTAATTTGAAATTCAAATTTAGTTGGGCATCTTGCATTCTTATTTGCTAAATCTGGCAAGTCTAGACTGGTAAGAGAATAAAATCCAGTGAAATATACATTATTATTTTACTGGCTATATAAACTAATGAGAACAGGGAGCCAGGTCTCAGGGGGAACCTACCCTGGACTTCGGAAAATATACAGCAGGCCACCATGGAAAATAGAAGGTTCGTGTCAAAGTTTTCATGACATTTTTATTTAGCAGCATGATGTGCTAGCAAATGTAGAAATAGAGACTATAAGGGGTGGGGTAGAGCTCAGTCGGGGAGCACACAAGCCAGGCAGCGCCCTGGGTTCCATTTCTAACACTAACATCAACAAGAGAAGTGAGGGATATCTCAGACTACACGGCGTCAGCCAGAACTACCTACAGAAGGTCACACTGGGCCTTTTGCTTCAAAGCCTGTTGGAAAATAGTTATATTTGGATGAGGAATAGGATACATTATTTCTAGGGGAGTAAAATCTAAAGTCTTTTTTGTAGATCATATTTGTAGCAACCAATGCATGAGCTTTATGAGACAAAAGCCTTCTCAGGCCGGGTGTGGTGGTGCATATCTGTAATCCTAGAATTCAGGAAGCTGAAGCAAGAAGATCTCTGGGTTTAAGGCCAGCTTGGGTTACATAGTACGTTCAAGGCTGGTCTGAACTAAATAGCAAGACACTCCTTCCCCTACACACACACAGCCAAAAATGCCTTTTTAGTTACCTGAAATAAATAGGATTAATATGAATCACACTTTTGTCTTTTTTTTTTAGGAGGATTTCATTATGTTGCCCATGCTAGTCATAAACTTGTCAGCTTGAGTGATCTTTCTGCCTCAGCCTCTCAAGTAGCTGGGACCACAGGCATGTGCCACCATGCCTATCAGATTTATTATGAGACAGGCTGTCACTAAGTTACCCAGCCTGGCCTTCAACTTGTGTTCCTTCTACGTTAGCTGCCTGAGCAGCTGGAATTATATGCCTGCATCTCCACACCCAGCTTTAGACATTCTTAAAGTCCTAATTACACCTATACAATACAACCTTGAGTTAGTTAGATTTCAACAACCGCTCAATGCAACCTAAGTTGGGTAATACCAGGATAAACACCACTTTGCAGACTGTATTTTCCCATCTGGTTCTTTAACCATCATGTAAATTAGAAAACACCCAATATGCATAGGTTTTACACATACTCCATCTGGTCTTCAAATGGAATTATATTAGCATATTTCACAATCTATATTAAGAAAGATTTGGGTGCTTTTATCTGTACATTTGGTGGAGCGTCACATGGAGTCAGAAGTTGGCATCAGTTTTGTTCATCGAAGCTGCTTATAGTAAGTGGCAGAGTTTGAGTTGGGCTTCTAGGGTGAGCCAGCTATGGAGGAAAAAAAAAATTATGGTCTTGTGGCCAGCATGACTCTCATTCCTCATTAACAGAACCTCATTTGTTGTTGTGGCTACAGGACAATATGACATATAGAGTCTAAAAATCACTTTTCCCAGCTCTTCTAATGTAATCAGAAGTTCTTGGATGGAGCCTCTCCAAAGAAAGGAGGAGTGAGCAGGCATGGTGGCACAGGCCTGTAATTCTAGCCTTCAGGAGGCAGAAGCAAGGGGAAACCACAGGCATGTGGTCAGCATGGGCTATATAGAGAATTCAAGGCC